CCCCAAAACCCCAAAACCCCAAAACCCCAACAAAGTACATCAATTGTATTTTACTATGTTAGAGATTTAAATATATTAATTAAATACACATAAAAGGAAGGTTAAATGACCCTATTGTTTAAAATTTCGAAAATATTGATATTTATAGATCAGACTTATATTAAAAGATCGCAAGTTTACTTCTTATCAATAAAGCTTTCTTCTATTTATAAGATTGCTATCATAGCTACTGTAGTCATTTAAGATTGTGGAGTTGTGATTAAATGTTGCATTATTCTGGTTATCATAGATAAGACTTTTACTCTAATGATGAATGATTCCAATCTAATTCGGATTCTTATACTTCCCTCCAATGTTAACATTTAGGAAGTTTTGATTGCTGGTGTTCAACATGTTTGGCTTATTGATAGTTGCAAGTTAAGAGAAAAAGTTACGTATACCCTTATTTTGCATCTAATTATGAACCTATTACCCTCTTCCTGGAGACTCATTCTATTCATAATCAAAAGATCGCTCTAAGATTTTTCTATTGTCCCTCAGAATTTTCTTGTTTTCCTTATTTAGCTAGTCAATCTTGAAATCGACTCTCTTTTTGTTGGATATCTTCGAGGCTTAATTAGCAGTCTCTTCATTTTTATATATACTTTGATACTTGTCTAGGTAATTCATGGGAGTATTGTTGCTATTACTACGATTCTTCTGCTGAAATCTATTTGATATCTAATGTGATCTCTCTAAACTCTAGCTTAATTCTTTTATTTAATCAGATGTGTAGAGTTTGCTGTTTCCTCTTTCCAGACTTTTGACTTAGGGGATACTAGGCAGATTTCTCACATTGATTATATTGGCTTAAGCCTCTTGATTTTAATTAAGCTAATATTTTTACTGGTCTGTGAGACTCTAGCTAATCTGAGGAATCATATGGAGTAGTTGGCTTAGATTTTACAGTCTAGGTGGTAGCTTCAATACATTTTAAGATAGAATTTATGCTTATAAGCCTGTTTAGTCCAATGTACTTTGTGGCAACTATGCTTTGGTCTCTTAATTATTTTAAGTTTTATATATTGTATTCAATTAGTTAGTTTTATCAACTGGATGAAGTGAGTTTTTATTTACATAGATTGAGTCATTCAGCCTCGTTTTCTTTTTTCTCTTGAATTTAAATGTCTCTCTTTGGGAAGTGGTAAAATCATTCATACTCAGCATGGATGAATTTATTTCTTAATTGACCACTCTATTGCTCTTCGCTTTAGAATAGTATTTATTCTATTTAAGCAGATTCTAAATGTTTGGAAACTAAATTGAGGACTCAGTGAGAATCTCATCTATCCTTCTACTAGATATGGATCCACTCTTCTATGTTATTATAGTCTTAAGTAGTGTGCCATTATTAGTATGAAAGGTATGATTATTGTAGTCGAAGTTTGTGTTTAAATGAGGAACGATCCTATTTATTTTGATCGCTTAGGAGTTTGTACTTTTATTTTATTTTCTTCTCACACTTTGCAAATGCTAATAGAGCTCACTATGTTTGCTAAGCTTTAGTACTTTTTACTGCTAGAATCCACTTACTTAGATATCTATTCTGCTAGTGTTGTTATTGATGTTATTCTATTGATTATCAGGCATAATATTTACAATCTTCGTATTAATCTGTGTTCTTTTGGGCAAGTCATGAGAATGGTGCAAGTACATTTTATAGTCATATTCATTGATCTCGCTTTCTCTAAGGCATTCCAGTTCAAATGAGGACAGACCCCCTAAATCATCAGTTTATATGGCTATTTCATGAGGCTTTTCTTCCATTTTAGATTATTCTCTGATATCTACCCTTATAATAGATGACGGTATATCCTAATGAGCATTAGGATCGTTAATTAGAGCATTATTATTATTCAAAGTAGAAGATGTAGTGGTCTCTGATTCACGCATTAAATTATTAATGACTTGCTTAACAGTCTTTCTGGAGCTAGTTATCTTGTTTTCTTAGCTATTATTCTGGTAATTTCTGTTTACTATAGAATCATTATTGGCAATCAGGTAGTTATTAGAGCTATTTCGTTCTGGTGACTCTGTTTCCAAGGGATCCCAGCCTGTTAATTAATTTTATTCATCCTCAATTAACTCCAATTACCCTGATGGCTCCTACCTCACTTTAGACATTTAGGTGGTATTTTTCCTGCGGCTTAGAGGAGTCCCTCTTAATGACTAAGCACTGTGTTCGCTCATGTGCCTATCACTTCTGATTCAGTCATGAATTTTTATTTTGGAGTCTTCGTTAGATGCTTGTGATTTTATGGAAGAGATTTTCATTTTATCGATAATATTTTAATAAATTTAAAAGTGGATTATCTCATGCTGGGGTTTTGGGGTTTTGGGGTTTTGGGGTTTTGGTGAAAACCTTC